CCATAAACTAACGATGAATTTTTACAATTTGACAGGAAAGTTATATGTCCATTGCAAGGTAATATAAAATTTTTACAGAAATAGTTATATTGGGTACAAAATTTTCTTTTCGTTGCTATTAAAAATTATTATGAACAAGTAGACAGTACTATATAAAGATCTAATTAATTGATGAAAAGATTTAACTGAATTTTTTTATTTTGTAAAATAAACCTTAAAATAGTTGTTTTATTAATCTATAACAAGGCCTTGTAAAAAATTTACTTAATCCTAAAATTTCTTGAGCCGGTTCTGTATAAAAATAATATCTCTCGTCACTTTTATATTATTGCTAGTTTTTCATCAAATTCTATATAATATGAATATTTTCTATCTTAAACAATTTTTAAGGCGATCCCACGTTCTTATGCACACAGCATCAACAAAAATACCATAACACAAAAATTAAAAAGAAAAATTAATACCATACCATAATTGGCTCTTAAAACTAAAACTAGTCCAAAGCCTCGAGAAATTTCTTTGAAGAGCTGTGCTGTGTGCTCACCTGTCTCGTCAGACTTTCCAAAGAAGCGATTCTTGTGGTGCTACGCTACAGAAGAAAACGGACTTTCCAACTTGATATATATATATATATATATATATATATTTTTTTTTTTTTTTAAAGTGATTTTTTATTAGGATCTCTCTATTAGTAGAGTTAATTTTTAATCGTTAAATTTAGTCAAAATCACATTAAATTAAAAAATATACAGAATATACAATTTTTAATAAAAATTTGACGATTGAAAATAACAAATTACTTATCGTTTATTTTTTCTAATTCTATAAAAAAAATTCCATTTTTAATTCTTCTCCGTAACTTTTCTTTCTTTCTCTTTCTCCTTTTCTTTTTAAATTATTTTCCCTACAAAACCCAATTTCCACTACTTATTTACATTTACTTATTTATTTGTTTATTTTTGTGATGTGGCTTTCTATAGAACGAAGGCGGCAGCCAATTGAAAAATATGTCAATGTTACGTATATTTAGTCAAAATCATACTATATAATTGGAATAGTTGTTCTCGCTTCAGCACCATGTGGACTATGTTTTTAGTTAGGCTAATTGCACTTGAAATCTAATAAAATTAATTATGACTTATAGACGGAACAGACACCACTTGCTCCCTCTGATTATAGGGAGTGTAATTTTCTTTTTTAAAAAGGTATAGGTGTTATAATTTTTCATATAAGCATACTAACATATACATATTATCGTTTTCCATACTAAAAAAAAGATTATTGGCACTTTTAGTCCTTAAATTATGGTGATATTTTAGTCTTTAAATTTTTAACTTTAACATATTAATATTTAAATTTTTACTTTTTTAATAGTTTTGGTCCCTAACATTAATGTTGATAAGCGATTTTTGAAATTTATTGTAAATAATTACATTATTATTGCATAATAACTAATTTTACATAAATAAAAACATTACGTGCGGAATTTTATATGGCTTTTAACAGGTTTTAGTAACTGATTTTAGATTGGGTTTACCCCACATTAACTGATACATATCCTTGTAAACAAATGGATTCATGAGTAAAATTGCCCTTCTTAACCTAAACTGGTGAAGAACGTCCAGAATGACACCACAATACATGACACCCCTGCATGTGGGTCTCACATTTGACCGTTAATGCTCGCCACGAAATTATCGCAACGTTGAGACTTGTGGCACCACTTAAGAATAGCTATGACGGGTGTAGCCTTAAATTATTAAGAGTGCGTTTAGAGTAAGAATCCGTGTCATAGTTCAGATCATAGTTCGTAACTCGTTATAATCTTTTTTTTCACAAAAAACACACGTAAGTCAAGAATAGTTATGAATCATGATTCTGAATGCATAAACTAAACGTCTCTTAAGATCTTGTTTGGTTTATGAGTTTAAGTCAGTGATTTTGATTTTAAATTTAAATTTTGTGAGAGAACCTATTAAGAAAAACTTTTTAATTTATATTTTTTATAAGAGAAAATACTATAATAAAATTATAAATTTAAAAACGTGAACCAAACAGGTCCTAATGACCGTTGCACTGGCAAGGGTAGAACGACTCACGCGAGACCCACACATGGGTGGATCTCGCCTCAAACCTAACGACCCTCATGGTGGCGAGGCCAAGGCTGAGCCTAAACATTGACCAAGCCACATTGTTGTTGGCGAGCGGGGTGCTGGAGCATTTTTTTTTCTTTTTTATTTCTCCAAATTTGTACAATTTTTAAATTGTTATACGTTTGTTTTTTTTTTTTTCTAAATCTATTTTCAATTATTATTATTTTTATATATTTCCTTTTCTTTATATTTAAATTTTATTTTAAATGTGGCTGATAGTTTTGTTGGATAATAGTTATGATTTTATGTGATTGTGAAAAAAAAAAAGATATTTTAGCGAGTTATTCAATTCATAGAATCTCATGATTTGATAACTGTTAGCTCTTCGAATATATTCCTGTCATATAACAATAGCTACAAAACATATCTATCAATGGATATTGTACAACACTTGGAGTGAAATATTGTAGTTTTAATGGTTACTCAAATATTTATTCATCAATGACTATTGTAATTTTAACTGTAAGATATTGATCCGACGGTTATAATAAATTAGATAGTTGACAAAAAAAAATTAATAATAATTAATAAAATTGGATTCTTATCACATTACATCATTAAATTTTTATATTTAATAGTAACCACCAATAGAAACGTAACTATTAAAAACAAATTCAAGTTTTCATTGGTTACATTCTCATCATGGTTGCTCAATAAATATGAAAATTTGATGAGATGGCGTAATAAGAATCTAATTTTATTAATTGTCATAAAATTTTTAATCAATTATCTAATTTATTACAACTAACGGATTAATATCTTACAGCTAAAACAATGATATCTATTAATGGATAAATATTAGAGTAACTATTAAAACCACACATATATATTATTTTTGATAATTAGATTCTAATATACTTTTGTCTAATATATAATATTATCTTTGTCTAATATTATTTTTGATAATTAGAGTCTAATATATAATATTGTTTTTGTTTCACTGTTAATTTGTAAGGTTCTTTTAATGCTGTTTAATTATTGTGCCTAAGATCCTATACTGTACGAGGAAAAAAAGGACTCTAAATATGGTGTCTAATATTTTAGTGTATTAATTGGTGTCTAATTAATAAAATTATACAACATTATTTCATGATAAATATAAAAGAATTAGTTAAAAAGCAATCTAAATTTTTTACAACACGAATTAAGATACCAAAATTGACAGCATATTTGAGTTTGAAAAAAGACAGACTAAAATCTATAACATTTTTTAAATTACACCAAAACTTTCCAAAGAGAAGAAAGAAAAGAAGAACTTAAAAGAAATAATGAAGAGCAACCCAAGTTAATTAACAGAGTAAGTGCAGAGTATTTATGTTTTGAGATTTCCCAATATCCTATTGAATAACAAAAGAAGAAAAAGAAAACGAAAAAAAGTGAAGAAAACTCTATTAAACCAATACTTAGGGGCAGTGCACACTTTTAGATGAGCTCATATTAAAATTAAACAATATACAAGTCTAACAACATGTATATGTATGATATACATTTTTCTATAATAGTTAATAAATTTTTATTGTAATAGGTTTCTTTGACCATGTAACAAAATTGCCTCCTAATTGTAAACCAGTGAAAAAAAAGAAACCAATAAAGGTGTTTTCTGGTGCAGTAAAGGACTATTCAGAGAAATACTTTTATGCGTGAATCCCTCTTTGTTATTACTTGTCTTTGTTATTACTTCTCCCTCTCTATCCTTTATTGTTATTTTTTTATTTTTTATTTTTTAGTTTTATTTATAGGAGTTCTCCAAACATGCCAGAGACACAGAGAACCGAGAATAAGAGAAAATTATTGAATTTATTTTTAAAAGTGTATGAGTTTAAATTTTTATTTCTTATTCTTAATGAATGCCTTTTTACTAATATAATTATTTAACTTTTTAATTAAGAGTAAGAGCTAAAAAATCTAAACCCATATAATTTTAAAGAATATTTATCTTATTTTCCCGTCGAACAGCGATTGTATTAAGCACCACATGTTTAATGGAAAAAGATGAGTCTTATAATATGAGATATATAGTTGGAAGTGAGCTCTATCTTTGATTGTGGTGTTTAGAACCAATCTTTTCTCTTAATACTTTTTTAAGAAAAAATTATTAAATTTATTTTTAGAGTGTATGAATCTGAATTTTTACCTTTTATTTTTTATTAATACATTTTAATTAATATAATTATTTAATTAAAAAAATGTCCTGTTCATTTAACTGATTTGAGTTTAGAATTCGAGTTTTGTTACAGTAAAAAGCTCTCAGAAACAATCACATCTAACTTTTTTGCTACAGTAAAAAATTCTCACATAAAATCATATCTCAACTCGAATTAAAAACTCAAACCAACGAACTAAATAAATTAATTAAGAACAAGAAGTAAAATAAAAGTCTAGACTCATGTGGGTCCCACAGCCACAGTGTGAGGCTTACAAATAAAGCCTATATTCTGTTACAACTTGTTTGATAGAGAGATTTGAACCTGTTCAAAGTTCAAGTGCAATATTTTCTTTAATAAAAATTTAAATTTAAAAAATTTTATTATTATGTTTTCTCTTATAAAAACTTTAAAAATTTAAATTATAATTCAAAAAGTCTCATTTGAGTCCATTAATCAAATAAGTCCTTAGTGTTTGTATTTAACGCTGATGGTGTCGAAATATTTTTATTATTTAAAAAAAAAAAAAAAAAGAAGAATCCGAGGGTCCCATGAGAAAAAGAAAAAAAATAGCAAAAAATGAAGGGGGGACAAAGACGTAAATAAGAGAGAAGAAGACTTTGGAAATGGGGACTTTGAAAAAGGAGAGGCGGGATCGCCAGGTGGGCAGTATATAATAAGTCGCTGGACGCCAATTCCTCACCACCCGCAAAACCGCTGGCCCTAAACATTTCCCATTATCTCCCTTCTCTCTCTTGACTCTCTCTCTGTCTCTCTGTTTTTCCTTTTTCTCTTTCGAAAAAGCTTTTACGAAACTCGGAAGCCACCGAAAGAAGAAAACAAAAACCAGATTACCAGGCCACCACGACGAGGAAGAAGACCGAAGAACGAAGAATTTTCTAGATTCTTCTGCGCTTCGTAGATCCAGAATGGCGGAATAGCTCCTCCTGGTTTCCGCATTGTTTTGGACGAGGACTGTCGTTCGTCTGTTTCTTTGTTCGTCGCTGGTTTTTTTGGTTGTCTCTCGGTCGCTCATTGAGTTACGGACGCGGCCATTTTCATTTCATTTGTTCAGGTTTTTTTGTGTCTGATCTGAGGCGTCTGTTTGGTTGCTGAGACAGTTGGAGGTAAAAAAAGAGGAAAGTGAGTTTTGTTTTTGGTTTTTTATTTAAAAAAAAGAAAATTTTTGAAAAAATTTGGCTTGAAAATCGTTTGGCTAAAGTTTTGGGTCATTTTACTCGTAATCTGGTGATCTGTTTTGAAATTTTTGTATTTTAGTTTCTTTTGTTGCTTTTCTTTTTGATGAAATGCAGTATATATTTTTAACGCTTTATCGATTAACTTTTTTGTAGAACGTAGGAAATAATAGGTAGGGATCGTTTTTGTTGTTTCATGAAGATTTTCGAATTTTGGTTTTCCTTTAATGAATGAAATGTTATGAGTTTTCTCTCTAGATACTTTTTGTTTGCAGCTCAGATCTACGCTGTTTTCTTTGCAAAATTTACGAAAACAATTTTTTATGGTCTTCGTTTTAGGTATTGACTAAACTATTCAATTATGTTTCTCGAAATCTTAGATAATTCCGTAATTTTGAAAAACCATTATTTCGTGCACGATTACAAAAAGTTGATTGTTTCTGTATCCCACTATTTTTTAATTGAAGAAGAAGAGAAAGGCCTTAGTTTTAAGGGCCAGATTAAGTTGAGTTATTTTAAGCAATTTTGTTTTTTGTTTTTTGGGTATATATTTTTGATAAATTTTGGAAACAGAACATGTTCTGAAGGCATGCGAAGCGTGTTTTAGGGAAATTAGATGAGAATTGTTGTCAAACAGTGCATGCCAAACACATTTACTTTCTATTTTTGAGAACAATTGATTTTGTCCTTTTGTTATTGTTGTAATTGGTTGGAAATGATTAGGATTCTGAGTTGTGTTGTTTTCTTTAAGAAACTACATCTAGTGGAAGAGCTGGTAATTGGGTGTTAGATGTCGTGTAGTAATTATATGTTGCCTCTGCATGCAATCTTCTTAGATTTTTCAATATTTGCATCTCATTCTTGTAAATTTTAACACTGACGAGGTAACAAACAAAATTTCTGTGACAGTGCTGTTTGATTGGTGCTTGTCATCATGGTTGCTACTGCGGCTGCTTCGTCGTTCTTTCCGGTAACTTCGCCGTCTCCCGACCCTGGTGCGAAGAGCACCAAACTTGGGAGCACGAATTTGGGTGGAACAAAATCAAAATCTGGCTCGACTTTGCAAGTCAAGGCAAACGCCCAAGCCCCACCTAAGATAAATGGCACTTCTGTTGGTTTGGCTGGTCATGTTGAAAGCACGAAAAATGGGGATGACGTGCCCTCTGCTGCTCCCGCGCGGACTTTCATTAACCAATTGCCTGATTGGAGCATGCTTCTTGCTGCTATTACAACAATCTTCTTAGCAGCGGAGAAGCAGTGGATGATGCTTGACTGGAAACCCAAACGGAATGACGTGCACGTTGACCCATTTGGTATAGGAAGAATTGTTCAGGATGGTCTCGTTTTCAGACAGAACTTTCCTATTAGATCATATGAAATAGGTGCTGATCGAACGGCTTCCATAGAGACGTTTATGAATCATTTACAGGTACAATACAATATATTATTTCATCTAGATGGTATTTGGAGAAACATTTCTATGTTTGTATTAGTAACAAGTAAATAATGTGTGCTTTCTTCACTTTCTTCTTCATAGTTGCTTCGCTTTTATTTGGCTTTAGGAAACGGCGCTTAATCATGTGAAGTCAGCTGGGCTTCTTGGTGATGGATTTGGCTCAACACCAGAAATGACCAAGAGGAACCTGATATGGGTGGTCACCAAAATGCAGGTTGTGATAGATCGCTATCCAACTTGGTAAGTCAAAACTTCTTGACACGCATATAGATTGCTCTGCTTATTGGAATTTTTTGTGGTTCGACTGTATTTTCATGATTCCTTCCATGTTGCAAAGTGCAAGGAATACCTTATGAGCGATGAATTAGAGCTCTGTCTGCTCTTTTCTTTCTTTTTTTTTTTTTTTTTTTTTTTTTTTTTAAAAATTGACACGCATATAGATTGCTCTGCTTATTGGAATTTTTTGTGGTTCGACTGTATTTTCATGATTCCTTCCATGTTGCAAAGTGCAAGGAATACCTTATGAGCGATGAATTAGAGCTCTGTCTGCTCTTTTCTTTCTTTTTTTTTTTTTTTTTTTTTTTTCAGAAATGATTCTATCAGATTTATTGGATAAGTTTGTTCAATAGAAAGTTTTATTAGATTTTAGGAGAGAATATTACAATCTTTTTATTCAGGAAAGGCCTTAATTTAATTTTGACGCGTAGACTAATTAGAGCCTTGAGGGTTAAAAGCATTGTGTTCAGATCTTTGTGTGTTTATCTATTAAGGTTTTGATGCAGGCCTAAACACTTAAAATCCTCAGTGAAAGTAACTTAATTGTTTCATGTACTATATACATAACTAATCTTTCTTGGAGGTTTTGTTTTTCCCCATATTAGTTATGTATTCAGACTTGGATCTTACATGAACATGGGTGCTTTGAACCTCTAAGATGTTTGACATGAATCTTGTGTTCAGATTTGGTTGATGTGGTTGTTTAGAAGGGGAAGGAGCTTGATAGAGGGGTAAATTTGAAACAGAATTACGAGTGTTGAGGTTTTGAAACTTTAGTATTATAAATTGGAGAAGCATATAGGTTTTACTACCTCACTTGGTAAAATTAATATGGTTGACTCTTTTGCTTTGTCTTAAGTGGGATTTTATCATTGCTGGATATATAGGGCATGATATATTTCGCTATATAGTTTTGGTTATATGCCAGTGATAGTTTGAGGTTGATGATTTTAACGAATATCTCTCTGGCAGGGGTGATGTTGTTCAAGTGGACACTTGGGTTAGTGCATCTGGAAAGAATGGTATGCGTCGTGATTGGATCGTTCGTGATTCTGCAACTGGTGAAATCTTAACAAGAGCCTCCAGGTAATCCTTTTTTGAAAAAAATTTGGAAGAATTTCTTTTTCTTCTCCCCAATTATTAAATTGTTGTGGCAAATTACTTTTATTTGTGCTGGTAATTTTTTGCTTGGCCTACCTTTTTTTTTGGGACATAATAACTTGCATTATCATTATCAGTTTTTCTTTAATAAGTTTCTGATACGATAGTATGAGGAAATGGTTTATGTGGACTAGCTTTGGGAAAGTAATTAATTAGCTATACGTTATATGGCCTACTTCTAATGTCTACTGATTACTTTAAGATGGACGCTGTGTTGGTTCTTATGATTTGTCAGTGTTTGGGTGATGATGAATAAAGTGACGAGGAGGTTATCAAAAATTCCTGAGGAAGTTAGAGGAGAAATAGAGCCTTATTTTCTGAGTTATGATCCTGTTGTGGAAGAGGATGGTAGAAAGCTGACGAAGCTGGATGACAAGACTGCAGATTTTGTTCGTTCTGGCTTAACTGTAAGTTGAATAAGTTTTGAACAACCTTTGTTTATCCATTTCTTAAAATGTACTGATCTTATAGTTTGCTTCTTTATTCTGATGGCTCCTTTCCCTTATGCAGCCTAGGTGGAGTGATTTAGATATCAATCAGCACGTCAACAATGTGAAGTACCTTGGCTGGATCCTAGAGGTTTACTTTCTTCCATGAAAATTTTCTTTTCATTCTTAGTTTCCTTGATTTTCCAGTAACGCATCTGTATGTTCATCTGTCCTCCCTTGCGAATGACGTGTCGTTGCAAGAACGAGGATAACAAAGATGGCTAAAGTAATCTTGTTTAACTGGTTCATGGTTGATGGTCTGGGTCTGAGCAGCCCTACAGGGGTTTGTTTCTCCCAGAAAATACCCACAAGTTAGTATTACTGGTTGGCTTGCTTTAAGGACATAGTGCTGCAAACCGAAATTAACACTTGGTAGTAATCACTCACTTGCATCAATATATTCGGCTGGAGTAGAGTGCGTAAAGATTCACTCACTTGCATCAATCTGTTCGATTGGAGTAGAATACATGAAGAATCCTTAAGGCATTCAAATAATTTTCCCAAGTTATTTCGAAGGTCTGTTGGCAAAAATAAAAAGAAAATGAGTCCACTTTTAGGGTTTAGGCTGAGAACATGTTTTAGGCTGTTTGTAAACAATTCTCTCCCCAATTTGCTCTTAGCGGGACATCTTTAGCCTCGTTCATTTCATGGATTCGAGTTTTCAATTCAAGCTGAAATGTGACATTTTCTAAGAGTTTTTAATTGTAGCAAAAAAAGTTAGATGTGACATTTTCTGAGAGTTTTTAATTGTAGAAACATAAAACTGAAAACTCGAATATGTTACGAGGTCTTTGTTTGTCAAACTTCTGCTTTAAAACATAATGAATGTATTTGATTAACAAGTTATTGATAAGTCCCTCCTGCTG